TTGTTAAATAGCTATTTGTATGGACTAAAACAGTCACTGAAGCAGTGGTATAAAATGTTCAATTCATTCATGGCTACGTATAATTTTATTAGAAGCAGTTATGATAATTGTGTGTAAATCAAAAAGGGAGATGGTGGTTGTAATGACCCGGGTCCCACTTAACGGGCTGTCTCGGCCATTAGCTCTTCCACTCGTGATGGTCATGAGCAAGATTGATCCTTTAGAATTGAATTGGAATAAGTTACTATTTTTAGTAGATTTTTATTTTCTAACATGTTTGAATATGTTACTTTTTCGTTTCGTTTGAGTACAAAAAGTATTAGGGCATGTTTGACAAACATTATTTTTCATGGAAAATGAATTCCATTTCTACCCATTTAGCTTGTTTGATGGCCATTTTTTTCTAGGCAAAATTTTTCCGAGTGACAACCTCATGCACCTGTTTTCACCAGTTTTGTGAAATTGGATTTCCCACCTTTTTTATGGGAAATCTGATTCCACGTTTTTTTTGTAATGAAAACAAATTTCATAAACAATTGTAAAATTTTTTTCACTTTAATGGATAATTTTCATGTAAAATAAAGTCAAACGAACATTAAATTTTGATTAAAAAAATGATTTTTTAGGAAAAAAAATTTCCATTTTTTTTTTTACTTTTTGACAATGGAAACAAATTTTATAACCAATTGTGGAAACAAATTATCACTTTAATGGACAATTTTCTTATAAAACAAAGCCAAACGAACACAAAAAGATCAAAAATTTAAAAATTTTCAGGGTGAAAAATTATATCAATCAAACATACTTAATTAACAATTCTTTAGAAAACAAATTCTAGACAATTCATTTTCTTTTCACCCATTTTTCACAATTGCAGTCAAACAGACCCTTAGTTATATTTAAAGCAAGTCTTACATTACCGTGAAATTACTTATATCCAACTTTGATCAATAAAAAATATATTAACAAATTTATTTGTAAGTTAACTGTTGAGAAATTTACAACACCAAGAGCTCCGCAATGTGCAAAATACGACACCTTTAGTGACCACACATATTTAGGCCTCACTTTAAACCTACACCACAAGGTTACTCCAATCAACAAGCTCAAACCTTGAACTCCACTAAATACCTAAGATGAGTTGCTCACAAAAGACCATTCTCAAACCACAAAGAGAGAGCGTAGAAATCAATAATAAACCAAATCGAATACCAATGAGAATCTTAGAATGAAACCATTGATTCCGTATTTTTACTATAGAACCGAATCAAAATCGAACAAATCGGTTATGTTTGGGTTCTTTATATTGAAAAAATTATAAAAATAAAGTATAAAACTACTTGACGATTGAAAATAGACAAAATAGAGTACGAAATCACTTGTCATTTTTGTAATCTAACAATACAAAAAAAAATCAATTAAAAAAGGAAACAAGGAAACAAAAATTCAGCCCAACGCTTAAGTTCAACTTGTACAGGGGAAAAAAGGGGGAAAAAAAACTATTAAACATAACATAAACGGTAAAATCTTGTTCGAAAATTAATTTCTAAGATAATTCATATAACAATATATGTTAAAGTATATGTAGTATTTATAACCTGATTATATTTAAAAATCCTTAAGGATCTTGATGACCGTTTGGAAACAATGATAAATTCGAATTTTTATGAAATATTGAATTAAAAATATATATTTTTTATATTGGGTTGCATTAAAATTATGAATTTATAAAATATTTAAACTTGAATCATTAGATTTTGATGTAGAGGAAAGAAGAAGCGTACGAAAATGAAATTTTGATGTGAGATAATTTTATGGTTTAGTCTTCAAAGATCTAGTGTATCCTGGCGCAAGCAAAAAGAAAAATTCGTGAAAATCGAATTCACTATTGTTTCTCAAAGCAGTACTAAGAATCGGACCGGAACCAATCGGTTCTTGATATTTTAAGTGTTATGCCCTAGGTCCAATCAACTTTGAACATAAACACTTTGAATATATATAATCAATGCATATATATGGCAATATCTATTATTTAATTGAATTAATATTCTAATAAATTAAATAATAGAATCCGTAGATTCAAGTCTTGGTGATTTGTTAATCACAAGGAGTTGTGATTGTGAGATACAAATTACATATGACTGAATCTTAAATC